CAGGGGCAAACTGCACTCAGCAGCCAAACTTTGTGGGCGTGTTTGCGCTGGTATATAATTAGTGCAATATCCTTTGTGAATAGGACGTTACCATACCCCTAAAGTGATACCCATACAATATTTAATGTCATTTAAAAACTTTATTTTTCTACTTTATCAGATAGCTATCATCTGAATGGAAGCTCTCTTTGCATAAAATGCTACCAGATGCTGTTGCCGTAGTGGGTCAATCACATGTCACATTAAAGGGCCATCTGCGTTCTTTTACGTGCTTGTCAAATAAAAACTCCCACTCAGCCGTTATCAAAGAGGTGATGTAGGTTACAGCGCTCTCTTCAAAGCCACCAGACTCAACTGACATAAACGGCAATTTTACCTCACAGCACACGGGAGTTGCCAGTCTACCAGCGACTCCATCGTTTGGGAACTAAATTGATGTGGCGTCCACAGCAGTATGTGGACTTATGTAGCAACATCGTGCAGAAAACTGTGTCAGGACATGTGGAAAAAAGTTTTCAGGAGGGCTCTGGAAAATAGCATCTTAAGGCTGAAACATACATATTTGACCAAAATTTGAAATCTCAAATCAGGGACACCTAATGCTACAGAAAAAAAAAAAGAAATGAATGGAGCCACCTCCCGTTAAATCAGAGAATGCTTCCTTGATTGTCTGCAAGCAAAACCATACAAACAGCATTTCCCTCTAGATCTGGGTACCAAAAAGATTGCAGGTTTCATTTTACTGCAGATGTTTTGATACTGCTTTGTACTGGGTTATTTCGGTCAATACCTTAAAGGTTTCAAGTACCAATACCCAGCCCTACTATTTTGGCTGTTAGACAAAAATGTCCCTTCTGATTGTGGATGTTTTATTGGAGTGGGACCAAAACAGCTCCAGAAGTCTCAACAATAAAAGACTGGCATCTCAAAATCACCCCTAAACTCTCCCAGCACTACAATTACAGAAGGAGAGATTTAACACATAGCCCTGACTATCCTTTTTTCCAACACTGTAATCAAACCAGTCGTCCATTCACGTAATACTCTTGCTTGTGTTTAGGTTTTATCTCCAAACACCCACCATTCTTACATGTTGCCTCGTACAAACTCACTGTCCTTTTAAGTCAAATACCCTTTACATCCCAATTATTGTCCTCCCACCTCTCCAATCTCCTGTTTTTCCTCATGACTCATGCCAGCATCACCTCCCCCAAAGTCCCTTTTGTCACCCAGTGGTGGTGTTAAAGGGCTGACATGATGCATTCAAGGGACAACTTCACTCTTCCATAGCAGAACAAAAGCTATTTTTTTATTAGTCTCTCAAACGACCTCCAAATATGTTTTTCTGTGTTTACAATTTTGCACAGCGCTCATATTTCTTGCTGACAGATTTCTGAAGGGGGGCGTATTTGCAAGGCACACAACAGCTCAGCTTCTTTTTACACACGGGAGGAAAGTGTAAACAGTCTTACTAATGGAATGGTACTTTATTGATCCCTGTGAGGAAATACTCTGCCTCCAAAGGGAGGTCAGAGGTGAGGGTCAGCTGACGATCAATGCTCTTGAGGAGATAAGAATTCATTGTCTTGCACAAGGACTTGAAATGTGTCGAAGTGCTGGTATTGCAGTCAATCAAAGCATTTTTACTGGACTGATACAGGCTATACTAAGCCAGATAAGACTTTACTTTCTTTCTGTTGTAACCTACCTAAAACCCATCCCTGACCGACAAGCACAGTGGAAAAATCAGCAGCCAGCGGTTTGACTTAATGAGATCTGCACCTACAGCATGTGTCAGCACGCAGAGCTGCTTCGGCTCTAAAAAATCCATCACTTTGCCTTTATTTCAGTGACATCTTTCCTCATCCTGCTTTATTTTCTGTCATATTGTTAAGAAAATGTCCCCTGAATAGGTTGTTTCCATGGAAACAAAAAAAAGTAATGGTACAGTTTTAGACTCTGTAGTTACAATGGGCTCCATACTTCATACTATTTGTCTGTATTGCATTCATAGTCATATTATCCACATGCTAAATATGCATGTTGAGTGTACTGGGATTTGCAGAATTAAGAATTTGGACACAGTGTGTGTCATTATATTGGGACTCATGCAAGAACCACTTGTGCAAACAGATTTGTTCTTAAAGGAATAGTTGCAACATTTTGTGAAACGCTGTGCTTATTTGCTGTCTTGCTGAGGGTTACATGAGGAGATCGATACCAGTAACTTCCTGGAGTCTCGACTGGTTGCCTGGCAACTGGTCTCACCCATGAAACAGTCTGGCACAAAACCCTTGCAGCTTTTTACACTTTCTTTATGTGTGGATTAAACAAACAAGATATTATGTGTTAATAAGTGAGCTTTAGAGGCGCTGGTAGGCGGATTTAGTTGCCTCCAAACATAGCTGGGCTAGCTGTGTTCAATTTTCATACTGAGCGAAGCTAACTAGCTGCTGGCTGTAGCTTCATGTTTGCCAGATTTGAGAGCAGTAACAATCTTCTCATCTAATTTTTGGCAAGAAAGCAAGCAAACTATTCTATATATATAAGTATTTCACTGCTGTAAAAAGCTTTTTTCATAAAAATGGGCTGTCTATGCAGTAGAAAGACACAACTGCTTTTGAATTTTTTGCTGCATGATCAGAGAAGAAGGGCTGTGGCCTTCAGTTTTACTCAAGAGGTAGAAAAGCTACAACTACCAGAATGCACTGCACTGCACCTGACCAATAGAGTGCCGAAGTCACGCCCCTTCCGGTGAAGCTCATGGGACCTTAGATCGGAAAAAATATGAATGGCAGTGAATGAGGAGGGAAATATTATCTTTTGGTCCCGTTTGACATGAAATCCAAATATGTCATTAATGAATTTAAAACATAAATTTTAAGGTCAAGAAAGTCATACTTTGTGGTAAAACTGCTGAGATATAAGCTTTTGAAAAAAACGTAATTAGAAAAACTACACAGGAGGCGGTCGCGTATGTGACGTCATAGCCTTCGCTCGTTTAGTGCAGCTTGGAGTGACTGCAACCTGACACAAAACACACAGACATCTTCAATCATAAATCGATTAATCATAAAACAGTGGAATTTCAGCGGGGAGGCCAAGCTGCAGGAAGCGAGCGAAAGCTATGACGTCACATACGCGACCTCCTCCTGTGTACTCTTGAGTCTTTCTAATTTAAAAGCTTATATCTCAACAGTTTTACCACAAAGTATGACTTGCTTGACTTTAAAATGTATGTTTTAAGTTCATTAACAACATATTTAGATTTCATGTCGCAACTCAAATGGGAACAAAAGATAATATTGCTCTCCCCATTCACTGCCATTCATATTTTTTCCGATCTAAGGTCCCATGAGCTCTGCCGGAAGGGGCGTGACTTCGGCACTCTATACTGCATTCATGTGCTTCTTGGTTAGATTTTGTTCCAGACTTGTTGCATCCCCTAAAACTTCTAAAAATATTGCCTTACCTGACTAATGCTAATAAATAACTTTTCTTACTCATCCACGTCACTCTACATGGAGCAACTAACGGTTACAACCAAATACCATATTACAAATTATATGTAAGCCATAATTGACATGCAATATGTGAATTAATAAAACATTTATTTCCATTAGCCAAACATTTACTGTCATCCACGTTGTTTCTTCATATATGATGTCAACTCTGCAACTTGTGTACCAAGACTTTTGCGGATGTTCTGAGTTGTTGTTTCAACTTGATGGGGCAGTCATGTGAATCTTCCCGGTTGGGAACTCATTTTTCCGATTATTTTATTAGCAGATGAAGGCAGGGCAATATATGCTCATGCTGGTGGATGACATAATGCAAGTTCCCATCTGAAAACAACATGGCGACGGCTGGTAAAAAACATTCTCAAACTACAGTTAAACAGTACACTAAAATATGTTTCTGACAACATTTAAGTTGAGAAATTGGCAACACAGTTACAGAATCTTGGTTTAGATTTGATCAGCACTGCCTAGTTTTACCGTTTGATATGAGGGTTTTTTTTTGCCTCTGTTTACACAATAAAGTAAGTAGTATAACACCCACTTCCTATTCACAAACTCTTGAAATACAGCTAAACAGTGCACCAAAATATGTTTCTGAAAACATTTTATGTGGGAAATAGGCAATACAGTTTAGTCTGAGTTTGAGAAAGAAACGGACAGGTCTCTCTCTCAATCACCTTCTATACTATAATGCGTGAATAAAATTTGTGGTTCAAGCAACAGCCCTATAGCGAAGTATGACATCTGGCGGACTTGAGTCGGGAGATGAAAGGTGCTGGCAAGAAAAGTATACCACAGTTCGTCGGTGAAGATTCTCAGTCATCCAGGTCATGGTAATCGTAAGCACTTACGATATAGCACAGTTCATTTGCACATACTACCCACATTGTTATGATACAAAGCTGGTTGAAAATCAGTAAAGTATCCCTTTCAAAGGACAAACGAGTGACTTAAGAAAAGATAATGCATTCACCAATTTCCTTGTGCTTAAAAATTTTCCCTTAGCGATAAGAATCACTAGTTGTTCAGGTTTATTGTATGAGCCATGTGTAGTCTGCCTCTCTGCATAAAAGAAAATGTTCAACTTGAGAATCATAATGCAATGCACTAAATGACTTTGGTTGTTCTTTTATCTCAGACATGTCAGGATGTTACATACCTTGACATGTTTCGGTGGAAACTTCTGCCTTGCTCAGAAGTATCACTTGGTGGTTGTTGTGACGCGTCTTTATCAGCTGATCTGTCAATCAGCCGATATTAGGGAAGCGTGACCATCCTGCAGATCAGCTGATAAAGACGTGTCACAACCACCACCAAGTGACACTTCTGAGGAAGGCGGAAGTTTCTGCCGAAACATGTCAAGGTATGTAACATCCTAACATGTCTGAGATAAAAGAACATAATGAACACCATTGTTTTCGATGGAGGTGGGGGTTTTACAATGCGAGTTATGATGTACGTTTTCTATTACTGCCCTACCTCCACGTCACTGGCATCCCACGTGTCCTGGATAGACTTGACCCGGCTGATGTGGGGGATGCTCCGGTGAAGGAGCGAGCAGGCCTGGCAAACAAACACACCCAAAGTCAGCGACGCCCAGTCCGGCTCTGCAGGAAAGAGAGAGAAAGAGAGAGAGAGAAAGGGAGGGAGAGCCGTGGGAGCGTGGAAAGAACAAGCATGGAGGTGAAAGGAGGGGAATTGAGTTTGGGGAGCGGGAGAGGAGGGAGGAAATGAAATCGGGCAAAGAAAAATGATAGAGAGAATGGTGATGGGATTGAAGAGAGATAAAGGAGGAGGGGGGAGAAAATCTTGTCATAAAAGCGCTGCAACAAAGAGAACACCGGCTCAAGGTTCAGGCTATAAATACTGAAAGTGCTGATGCTGGCGCTGTTAAGGGGTAATAGGAGCAAAGTAAATGAGGCAAATATTACAAGGGACTGTGGTTTAGTGTGTCTCTGCTCATAAAGGAGAGCAGGGCGGCAAAATATGATTTTGGGGAAATCCTATTTAGCTTACTGACAGGAAACAGACCGCCTGAGATCTGATCAGAACTCAGCCGAGGTAGTTATCAGGTTAGGTACATCACCAGACTCCAAAATACACACACATGCTGCACCATGCAAAAAGACACACTCACATTTGTATGTAATATTTTGTACTTTAAAGGAGACGAGAAAAGCAGAAAAGTAAATCACACACACGTCCTGGCATGCACGTACACACACACTTATGCACAGACCATATGCTGCTCATTGCCAACATTAGCACGTGACTAAACACACACTTCAACTACAGCTCCAGAAAAACTAACAGCCTCATCAGTAGTCAGACTGAATGTGCAAAAAGGGAAGAAGAAAATAGGGTTTTTTTTCGCCTCTCTGCAGCGTGATACAGCAGCAGCATCCGTGGGTGTTCAGCAAAGGTACATTTGAGTCACTGTATCACACGTAGACTTTGATTCTGTCCATGCAAATGAAGTTGTCAATGTCAGAGATGCAGAGTGTCAGAGACGGTGACAGAGAGAGAAAGACGGAGTGTGGTGAGAGCTGAGTGTCAGAAAATGAGATGAAAATGCAGATTGCACTGAAGGTAGATATAATCTGAGCTGTGCAAATTAAAGCTCAGTGGGTAAATTTAAAAAAAAAGCATTTTAAGAGCCCAAGTTCATAAATGTAACATCAGTGGCTTTTGGACACTCGGTTGAATGTCACCTTGCACTCTGGGAAATTGGGACGAGCCTTTTTCACCATTCTCTAACATTTTAAGACTATAAAAATGAATCGGTTCATCAAATAATTACCAGAATAATTGATCACATGCAACCTGATGAATAACTACATAAATGTGTTCTTCTAGTTCATGATAATTAATGATGTTGGAAAGTATAAAGGCTGCAACTAATTAAAAAGATTATTTTCACTGTCAATTAATCTGTCCATTATTTTTTGTTTTCTAATACAAAGACAATCTACAGGAAGGTGGTCAGCTGCTGTGTAAAAGAAACAAAAAACTGCTGCCTACTAGGTCGTATACAAATTGGGATCTGATGATCATTTTTTTTCTGCTGCAGCTAATATTCATTTTTAGTACCACTTAAACTGTCAGTTACATTTCCAGAGTCCAAGGTGACATCTTTAAAAACAATTTCTTTTGTCCTATCAACCATCAAAACCCATTTATCTTCAATTTACTCTAATATAAAATAGAGTATCAATCAGTCAGCCTGTCCACCACTTTGACCCAGCCTGAAATATCTCAATAACTAAATAAATTGAATAGATTGCAATGAAAGTCGGTAGAAGCCTACGGACTTTAGTGACCTCCTGACTTTTCATTGAACGCCACCAGCAGGACAAAGTTTTCACCTATCCAGTGAAATATGTCAACATCTACACCATGTATTTGTACAAGATTTGGGCCGATTTTTTTGTACAAACCAAACCAGATGGAATTATGCAAACTAGAAAGTTCATGCGTTTGTTGAGGTGAGTAGGTGAGACTAGAGGGATCTCTCAAGCCCCTTTTATACAGCCTGTTCAAGGTGGGACTTTTACAATGCTATTCTGCCTTGCCATTCTCTATAAAATGTACAAACATAAAATTGGGGGGCATTGTTGTTCTGCCGTTAAAGCGGCAGCAGAGGTTCTAATAGAGCCTTATATCCACTCGTCTGCTGAGACAAGTGCAACATCTAATGGTAAAATTCCTCATAGCAGTCTTGCCTGGTGTTTGACGAAATATCAAACCGGTTTGGAAGTTTTTACACCTGCCCAACCTTAATTGCCTCAAAATTTGGAATGCACTTTCATGTTCAATTCAGTCAATCAATCAATTTTATGTATAAAAGCCAATACCACAAATCACAATTTGCCTCACAGGGCTTTACAGCATACGACATCCCTCTGTCCTTAGGACCCTCACGGTGGATAANTCACAGCATGAGGGATATACATACATAGCACACTAACCCCACATCTCAGTTTCCCTCACAAAAAGGAAAAAAAACCCAAACAAATTAACAAAAAACAAACAAAAAAAAAAAAAAACTTGCCAATGTAGAGGGTACTATAAAATGTCAAGTCTCTCAGAGTCCATACACACCAAGACATATTTCATAGGTGCCATCATCATGGCAAGTAATACAAATTTAAAGTAAAATGAGTAAAAATGAGTAAAATTCTACTCATTACATTAATTGAAAACACTAAGTAGGCCTCCCATATCAATGAAACTGAAATAATTAGTCTTCCTACCATACTTCATGATGTAGGGAATTTATAAACAAGTAGAAAAGGGAAACACTTCATGTCCCGATTTTCCTATCCTAAGTAGGGGCTGGTACCCTTATAAACAGTTAGATAACCAAAATGATATTCAAACATATACCCTCATAACAAACAGAAACAAAACAACAAAACCAAAAACCTAACCAAACAAACAGACATAAAAGGTGGGTAAACCCCACTTACAACAGACAAAACAACAAAACAACGCAAACTATTGCATTCAGGTCTTATCATTGTCACTATGCCTTACATTGACCTAAGAAATTCTTAAAATCAAATTCTATATGAGATTGCCATATTTTTAAAAAGTCTGTGGATCTGCCTTTACTCTTGTAATATATATTGTCAAGTGTAAGGTAGCTTGAGAGTTCATTCCACCAGTGGACTATTACTGGGGGTTTGGATTCTTTCCAATTTAAAGTTATACATTTCCTGGCTGCCAACACAGCAAGATCTATATATCTGCTTTGATATTTGTTCCACTTATCACTTACCACTCCTGTGTACTCTTGAGTCTTTCTAATTAAAAAGCTTATATCTCAACAGTTTTACCACAAAGTATGACTTTCTTGACCTTAAAATTTATGTTTTAAATTCATTAACAACATATTTAGATTTCATGTCGCAACTCAAATGGGAACAAAAGATAATATTGCTCTCCCCATTCACTGCCATTCATATTTTTTCCGATCTAAGGTCCCATGAGCTCTGCCGGAAGGGGCGTGACTTCGGCACTCTATACTGCATTCATGTGCTTCTTGGTTAGATTTTGTTCCAGACTTGTTGCATCCCCTAAAACTTCTAAAAATATTGCCTTACCTGACTAATGCTAATAAATAACTTTTCTTACTCATCCACGTCACTCTACATGGAGCAACTAACGGTTACAACCAAATACCATATTACAAATTATATGTAAGCCATAATTGACATGCAATATGTGAATTAATAAAACATTTATTTCCATTAGCCAAACATTTACTGTCATCCACGTTGTTTCTTCATATATGATGTCAACTCTGCAACTTGTGTACCAAGACTTTTGCGGATGTTCTGAGTTGTTGTTTCAACTTGATGGGGCAGTCATGTGAATCTTCCCGGTTGGGAACTCATTTTTCCGATTATTTTATTAGCAGATGAAGGCAGGGCAATATATGCTCATGCTGGTGGATGACATAATGCAAGTTCCCATCTGAAAACAACATGGCGACGGCTGGTAAAAAACATTCTCAAACTACAGTTAAACAGTACACTAAAATATGTTTCTGACAACATTTAAGTTGAGAAATTGGCAACACAGTTACAGAATCTTGGTTTAGATTTGATCAGCACTGCCTAGTTTTACCGTTTGATATGAGGGTTTTTTTTTGCCTCTGTTTACACAATAAAGTAAGTAGTATAACACCCACTTCCTATTCACAAACTCTTGAAATACAGCTAAACAGTGCACCAAAATATGTTTCTGAAAACATTTTATGTGGGAAATAGGCAATACAGTTTAGTCTGAGTTTGAGAAAGAAACGGACAGGTCTCTCTCTCAATCACCTTCTATACTATAATGCGTGAATAAAATTTGTGGTTCAAGCAACAGCCCTATAGCGAAGTATGACATCTGGCGGACTTGAGTCGGGAGATGAAAGGTGCTGGCAAGAAAAGTATACCACAGTTCGTCGGTGAAGATTCTCAGTCATCCAGGTCATGGTAATCGTAAGCACTTACGATATAGCACAGTTCATTTGCACATACTACCCACATTGTTATGATACAAAGCTGGTTGAAAATCAGTAAAGTATCCCTTTCAAAGGACAAACGAGTGACTTAAGAAAAGATAATGCATTCACCAATTTCCTTGTGCTTAAAAATTTTCCCTTAGCGATAAGAATCACTAGTTGTTCAGGTTTATTGTATGAGCCATGTGTAGTCTGCCTCTCTGCATAAAAGAAAATGTTCAACTTGAGAATCATAATGCAATGCACTAAATGACTTTGGTTGTTCTTTTATCTCAGACATGTCAGGATGTTACATACCTTGACATGTTTCGGTGGAAACTTCTGCCTTGCTCAGAAGTATCACTTGGTGGTTGTTGTGACGCGTCTTTATCAGCTGATCTGTCAATCAGCCGATATTAGGGAAGCGTGACCATCCTGCAGATCAGCTGATAAAGACGTGTCACAACCACCACCAAGTGACACTTCTGAGGAAGGCGGAAGTTTCTGCCGAAACATGTCAAGGTATGTAACATCCTAACATGTCTGAGATAAAAGAACATAATGAACACCATTGTTTTCGATGGAGGTGGGGGTTTTACAATGCGAGTTATGATGTACGTTTTCTATTACTGCCCTACCTCCACGTCACTGGCATCCCACGTGTCCTGGATAGACTTGACCCGGCTGATGTGGGGGATGCTCCGGTGAAGGAGCGAGCAGGCCTGGCAAACAAACACACCCAAAGTCAGCGACGCCCAGTCCGGCTCTGCAGGAAAGAGAGAGAAAGAGAGAGAGAGAAAGGGAGGGAGAGCCGTGGGAGCGTGGAAAGAACAAGCATGGAGGTGAAAGGAGGGGAATTGAGTTTGGGGAGCGGGAGAGGAGGGAGGAAATGAAATCGGGCAAAGAAAAATGATAGAGAGAATGGTGATGGGATTGAAGAGAGATAAAGGAGGAGGGGGGAGAAAATCTTGTCATAAAAGCGCTGCAACAAAGAGAACACCGGCTCAAGGTTCAGGCTATAAATACTGAAAGTGCTGATGCTGGCGCTGTTAAGGGGTAATAGGAGCAAAGTAAATGAGGCAAATATTACAAGGGACTGTGGTTTAGTGTGTCTCTGCTCATAAAGGAGAGCAGGGCAGCAAAATATGATTTTGGGGAAATCCTATTTAGCTTACTGACAGGAAACAGACCGCCTGAGATCTGATCAGAACTCAGCCGAGGTAGTTATCAGGTTAGGTACATCACCAGACTCCAAAATACACACACATGCTGCACCATGCAAAAAGACACACTCACATTTGTATGTAATATTTTGTACTTTAAAGGAGACGAGAAAAGCAGAAAAGTAAATCACACACACGTCCTGGCATGCACGTACACACACACTTATGCACAGACCATATGCTGCTCATTGCCAACATTAGCACGTGACTAAACACACACTTCAACTACAGCTCCAGAAAAACTAACAGCCTCATCAGTAGTCAGACTGAATGTGCAAAAAGGGAAGAAGAAAATAGGGTTTTTTTTCGCCTCTCTGCAGCGTGATACAGCAGCAGCATCCGTGGGTGTTCAGCAAAGGTACATTTGAGTCACTGTATCACACGTAGACTTTGATTCTGTCCATGCAAATGAAGTTGTCAATGTCAGAGATGCAGAGTGTCAGAGACGGTGACAGAGAGAGAAAGACGGAGTGTGGTGAGAGCTGAGTGTCAGAAAATGAGATGAAAATGCAGATTGCACTGAAGGTAGATATAATCTGAGCTGTGCAAATTAAAGCTCAGTGGGTAAATTTAAAAAAAAAGCATTTTAAGAGCCCAAGTTCATAAATGTAACATCAGTGGCTTTTGGACACTCGGTTGAATGTCACCTTGCACTCTGGGAAATTGGGACGAGCCTTTTTCACCATTCTCTAACATTTTAAGACTATAAAAATGAATCGGTTCATCAAATAATTACCAGAATAATTGATCACATGCAACCTGATGAATAACTACATAAATGTGTTCTTCTAGTTCATGATAATTAATGATGTTGGAAAGTATAAAGGCTGCAACTAATTAAAAAGATTATTTTCACTGTCAATTAATCTGTCCATTATTTTTTGTTTTCTAATACAAAGACAATCTACAGGAAGGTGGTCAGCTGCTGTGTAAAAGAAACAAAAAACTGCTGCCTACTAGGTCGTATACAAATTGGGATCTGATGATCATTTTTTTTCTGCTGCAGCTAATATTCATTTTTAGTACCACTTAAACTGTCAGTTACATTTCCAGAGTCCAAGGTGACATCTTTAAAAACAATTTCTTTTGTCCTATCAACCATCAAAACCCATTTATCTTCAATTTACTCTAATATAAAATAGAGTATCAATCAGTCAGCCTGTCCACCACTTTGACCCAGCCTGAAATATCTCAATAACTAAATAAATTGAATAGATTGCAATGAAAGTCGGTAGAAGCCTACGGACTTTAGTGACCTCCTGACTTTTCATTGAACGCCACCAGCAGGACAAAGTTTTCACCTATCCAGTGAAATATGTCAACATCTACACCATGTATTTGTACAAGATTTGGGCCGATTTTTTTGTACAAACCAAACCAGATGGAATTATGCAAACTAGAAAGTTCATGCGTTTGTTGAGGTGAGTAGGTGAGACTAGAGGGATCTCTCAAGCCCCTTTTATACAGCCTGTTCAAGGTGGGACTTTTACAATGCTATTCTGCCTTGCCATTCTCTATAAAATGTACAAACATAAAATTGGGGGGCATTGTTGTTCTGCCGTTAAAGCGGCAGCAGAGGTTCTAATAGAGCCTTATATCCACTCGTCTGCTAAGACAAGTGCAACATCTAATGGTAAAATTCCTCATAGCAGTCTTGCCTGGTGTTTGACGAAATATCAAACCGGTTTGGAAGTTTTTACACCTGCCCAACCTTAATTGCCTCAAAATTTGGAATGCACTTTCATGTTCAATTCAGTCAATCAATCAATTTTATGTATAAAAGCCAATACCACAAATCACAATTTGCCTCACAGGGCTTTACAGCATACGACATCCCTCTGTCCTTAGGACCCTCACGGTGGATAAGGAAAAATTCCCCAAAAAAAACCTTTAACAGGGGAAAAAAACAGTAGAAACCTCAGGAAGAGCAACTGAGAAGGGATCCCTCTTCCAGGATGGACAGACGTGCAATAGATGTTGTACAGAACAGATCAACATAATAAATTAACAGTAATCCGCATGACACAATGAGACAGAAGGAGAGACAGATACGGGAACTGCCCATTGGTCCGACAGCCCATTGGTCCGACATCCCATTGTTCCGACCATATTAAACCCATTGTTCTGAAGTCCGTTCCGAAATCATCATGATGCCCTGTGGTTAAGGTCTGGTTAGGTTTAGGCACAAAAACCACTTGGTTAGGGTCAGGAAAAGATCATGGTGTGGGTTAAAATGAAAAAGAAAATGACAAACACATAAGCTGTGAGCCTGCTTCGCCTCAAGCCTTTCCCAGCTGACCCAGAGCAGGTCACGGAACACCATCAAGGAAGAAATACGCCAGCCAGGAGCCGTTCAGCACCGAAGAACATCGGACTAATGGGATGTCGGACCAATGGGCTGTCGGACCAATGACATGGACCCGACAGAGACAGAGAGAGATGCAGGACAGATGGTAAAGATGCATCACAGACGGTAGCCTATGTTCCTCTTAGAATTAAAAATGTAGTCACTCTGATGATCCCCTGATTTTTCATCTAGTATCATTATCAAGTCAAATTCGGACCAAATTCCTCGATGACTTTTGCATCAGCCACAGCTGTATTTGTGGCTACGTACTAATTAGCAAGCACGCTAACATGCTATCCTAAGATGGTGAACATGGTAAACATGGTAAACATCCTCCTACACCTCCTAAACATGTTTGCATAGATGCTATGAGCATGTTGGCATGCTGAAATTAGCATTTAGCCAAAAGCACCACTGCATTAGTATGGCCGCACAGAGCTGCTAGCATCTTAGCCTTGATGCTAAATAAATAACAGATAATTAAGGGATTATTAAAACTGTTGCTGATTAATTTTCTGTGGACTGATGATCAATTGCTTCAGCACTAATGTAAAGAAATGTCTTTTTTAGTTTTTTTGTTCATGAGCATGGCATTCATGAGAGCCTGATGAACGCTGATGTTATACCAGTCAAGTTAATTAACAGCTAATAAAAACATTTTTGATAAGAATCGAATGCAACAGAGATGACCTTTTACAGTTTAAGAATTAAACTACAGTGTAAGCCAGTGCCAATATATCTATTAGATAAGCTCAAATCAGCTTTGGCCAATGTAGCCTAATAATCAGGCTCTATTCAGGATGTTGGAATATGTGTGTGTATGTTGCTCAGTGTATTTGCTCTCGTGTTAACATGCAAGGTGTATGCACAAGCAACCAAGAGTGCCATGTCCTCAGCGGGCAACACTCAAAAGTCACCACGTTCTTTCTCCATCGCACTCTCTCAGCAGCTGCCATTTCTCACACAAGGGAGCCCTCAGCGTGGTGCACCGCAGCCATGTGAATACACACACGCACACACTGTGAGAGCGTGCATTACTCAAGGGAATCATATGAGAGCCAATAGAGAGGGAGAAAGGAGGAGAAGAGGGCAAAAAAAATACTACACTTGCATTTCTCTGTCCTCTGGAGGCTGGAGAAAGCATAGATGGGGATGCCACAGAGCCTGACTGGGGAGAGGAGATGAGGAGGTGATGAAGGAGGAGAGGTAGGAGGCATGGAGGAAGGGAAGGGAGGAAGAGTGCAGGTTCTTTATCAGAGACGATGTGAGCACATATCCCCGCAGGGCTGTTACTGGCATCTACGATAATCTTCCTTCGATTTATCTCTAACCCAGGACAAGTAGGCAGTATTTTTATAAATGTCACCTAATCTTTAAATCATTTTGGATTGTGATTAAGCACAAAGTACTCAAGATGGCATTTTGATGTGAACAAATCAAACCACTTGCTTTTTTTATTCGTTAGTTACATCTCCTTTTTTCTGCCAACAGCACACACACACACGCATAATACACACCTACACACAACCCTGCTGACACGAAAACACACAACCAGCCATTCGGTGGTGAGGTCATCGCTGTCTGAGTCAGGCCTTATGGAGAACCAGACAGCACTCATGGAGATTACTGTGGCCGCATGACTGACTAACTGCACACACACAAGCACAGACACACACACACACACACACACACACACACACACACGGCTTCTTCCTCTACATGTTCAGAGATGTTTCTCAACAGGATTACTGCGAACAACAGATGCACAGCCGTAGCGAACAGGAGGTGGGAAACTCCTGATGTAGTGTGACTCTGCCGTTTTGTTTCGCGGTGCATATGCTGTTTCAGGCGTGTTTGTTAAAGAGCTGCTGCTCCGTCTCTGGGGAACTGTTGAGAGAAAAACGTCAAGTTTCGCAGGAGCTGCAGCGTTTGGTGGAGACACAACAGAGCTTTTGATTCGGCCGCACAAGGTTGAAGAAAGAAGTGCCTGTGGCGTTACACTGCAGGGCAGATGCGGGATAAATGAATGAGGGGGCATTTATACAATGGCAGCCCCTGTGCCTGTGAGCATTCGCAGGCACTTTTCTGCATCTGCAGCAGTTCATTTGTATGTCTGAACGTACACACATCAGTCTGTCAGAGGCTGCTTCATGGTGGGGGTTAATGACTTGACAGTGGGGCCAGCAGAGGTTGTGA